CAATTTTGTTTCTGGTGTCCTTTGACAGCTCTTTGGTCTTGGCCATTGTGGAGTTTGGAGTGTGACTGTTTGAGGTTGTGGACAGGTGTCTTTTATACTGATAACAAGTTCAAACAGGTGCCATTAATACAGGTAACGAGTGGAGGACAGAGGAGCCTCTTAAAGAAGAAGTTACAGGTCTGTGAGAGCCAGAAATCTTGCTTGTTTGTAGGTGACCAAATACTTATTTTCCACCATAATTTGCAAATAAATTCATTAAAAATCCTACAATGGGATTTTCAGGATTTTTTTTCCTCAATTTGTCTGTCATAGTTGACGTGTACCTATGATGAAAATTACAGGCCTCTCTCATCTTTTTAAGTGGGAGAACTTGCACAATTGGTGGCTGACTAAATACTTTTTTTCCCCACTGTAGATTGTTGTTCTTTTATGGAGCTGTCTGTCAGAAGTTTCTTGGTTACCTAGGGGAGGGAAGGTGACGACAAAGTTTGACTGACTGACAGGGGTGACGGTCCATGCTATCCAGGATGCTTGGGACATCCCTACCCCATTGATGTTGAAGTTTAAAATGGTTAAGGTTAGGGTTAGGTAAGGGCTATGTTTAAGGCTAGGGGTTAAGATTAGGGTTAGGGTTTAGGGTAGGGACGTCCCAAGGATTCCTGATATCACTAACCCAGGGATGACTGTGGCGTGGATGACACTGAGCATTGCCATGGTGCCGAGTCTCTGCCTTGGCTTGCTCTCCTTTTTTGAGTCGTTTACCGGCAAGGACGAGTTGTCGTGGCGACAGGAAGATGTTCGAAGAAGCGGCTATTTTTATACCCACTGCCAATGCCAATACCCTTTCATTCTCCCTCTTTATTTTTATCTAAAGGCACATGAATCACCTCTGTCCTCCCTCCTTTTCATTTATTTCCTCAACTCTGCCAAAGTAAAAATTAAAACATTATTATTATGAAGAAAATATATATTCTCAAATCTGATTTATGACATGAAGTATCCTCAAATCTAACTGTTAATGTTTATTTTCTTGCAAGTATTTCCATATGTCTGTTAAGAAATGTATCCTACTACAAAACTCAACCCAGCATAATAATATAATAATAATATGCCATTTAGCAGACGCTTTTATCCAAAGTGACTTACAGTCATGTGTGCATACATTTTTGTGTATGGGTGGTCCCGGGGATCGAACCCACTACCTTGACGTTACAAGCGCCGTGCTCTACCAGCTGAGCTACAGAGGACCAGCATGCTGTCATAAACTGTTCAATGGACTTGGGCCGGTGTTGCATGACAAATGGAACCCTCGGAAATCCCACTACCCTGTCTTCCTCATCTCGTCATGTCTGATAAAACCAAAAGCCTTGATAAAAAAAGCAAGGCTCACAATATAATTTAGTTCCTCTTTATTTCTCACTAACATCGTCCTCTCACAAAGCAATCACACAGCCCGATAGGCATCAGAGGCCCCCTTGGGTCCCGGCTGCTATATCAAAACAAGAATAATTACTCTGGTACATGTAGTCCTGCTTCCCCCTTCTTCCTCTCCTCCCTTGTGTGGATGTTTTGGCAGACATGTTAGTGAGGTCGTTTAGAGAGTGACCGCTAGTCCCCACCGGACTAACCAGTGTGTGTGTCAAGCGAGGATGTGGGGGAGAAAGAGAGAGAATAGTAAAGTGACTTTGAGTTAGTGAAATAGAACACAGAAAGATAGCGTGTGTGTGTGTGTGTGTGTGTGTGTGTGTGTGTGTGTGTGTGTGTGTGTGTGTGTGTGTGTGTGTGTGTGTGTGTGTGTGTGTGTGTGTGTGTGTGTGTGTGTGTGTGTGTGTGTGTGTGTGTGTGTGTGTGTGTGTGTGTGTGTGTGTGTGTGTGTGTGTGTGTGTGTGTGTGTGTGTGTGTGTGTGTGTGACGTTGATGGTACTGGGAGATGACATCTATGATTCCAATGCAGGCACTTCTACTGATGCACTTGGATGTTTCGAGATAGAGACGGTCATTACAGTATCTATCATTTTGATGAAAATTACATTATTATTGCTTGAGTGGTGTGTATTCATACATGCCAAGGGAAGCCAGGTTTTCGCCAAAAATTGACCAAGAAAGAAAACATACAAATTAATGTATCTTTCAACTCTCTGTTTCATGAATTTCCTTAAATTCTCAATAGGCTGAATGTACACTACATACATAAAAGTATGTGGACACCCCTTCAAATGTGTGGATTTGGCTATTTTAGCCTTACCCGTTGCTAACAGGTGTATAAAATCAAGCACACAGCCATGCAATCTCCATAGACAAACAATGGCAGTAGAATGGCCTTACTGAAGAGCTCAGTGACTGTCAATGTGGCACCGTCATAGGATGGCACCTTTCCAACAAGTCAGTTTGTCAAATTTCTACCCTGCTAGAGCTGCCCCGGTCAACTGTAAGTGCTGCTATTGTGAAGTGGAAACGTCCAGGAGCAACAACGGCTCAGCTGCGAAGTGGTATGCCACACAAGCTCACAGAACGGGCCTGCCGAGTGCTGAAGCGCGTAGCGTGTAAAAATCGTCTATCCTCGGTTGCAACACTCACTACCGAGTTCCAAACTGCCTCTGGAAGCAACGTCATCACAAGAACTGTTCATCGGGAGCTTCATGAAATGGGTTTCCATGGACGAGCAGCCACACACAAACCTAAGTTCACCATGCGCAATGTCAGGCGTCGGCTGGAGTGGTGTAAAGCTCGCCGCCATTGGACTCTGGATCAGTGGAAACGCGTTCGCTGCAGTGATGAATCACGCTTCACCATCCGGCAGTCCGACGGACGAATCTGGGATGCCAGGAGAACTTTACCTGCCCGAAGCATAGTCCCAGTTGTAAAGTTTGGTGGAGGGTTAATAATGGTCTGGGGCTGTTTTACATGGTTTGGGCTAGGCCCCTTAGTTCCAGTGAAGGGAAAGCGTAACGCTACAGCATACAATTACATTCTAGATGATTCTGTGCTTCCAACTTTGTGGCAACAGTTTGGGCAAGGCCCTTTCCTGTTTCAGTATGACAATTCCCCCGTGCACAAAGCGAGGGGCATACAGAAATGGTTTGTCGAGATTGGTGTGGAAGAACTTGACTGGCCTGCACAGAGCCCTGACCTCAAGCCATCTAACACATTTTGGATGAATTGGAACGCCATCTTCGAGCCAGGTCTAATCGCCCAATATCGGTGCCCAACCTCACTAATGCTCTAGTGGCTGAATGGAAGGAAGTCCCCGCAGCAATGTTCCAACATCTAATGGAAAGCCTTCCCAGAAGAGTAGAGGCTGTTATAGCAGCAAAGGGGAGACCAACTCCATATTAACGCCCCATGATTTTGGAATGAGATGTTCGACGAGCAGGTGTCCACATACTTTTGGTCATGTAGTGTATCTCACCGGCGAAAACATCAGAGTGAACGAAACAGCGCCCCTCTGTCTCAGTATGTGTAGCGTATTTATCTGATGCTGTCTGGTCAAAGAGTATGACATTGTTTCCGCCCGTATCATTGAATCCAAGGGACGCCAGCAAGCATTTGGCCTCACTTGATAAAAAAGTATAGCATAATAGACAATCTGAACTGAGCGAGCTCAGCTGTGAATGGTCCTGGCGCTCGAAAAAAAAGTGTCAAGCCAAACGTCATTGACATAAAAAAAACTTGAATTGTTGCATCTCGTTGTAAGCTAAAAAGTCCCTTTCCTAAATTAGCCATGGATGGAGAAAGGGATTGGACTTGGGGTTTTACTTAATTCTCCGTACTGGCCAATGATTATAATGCCGAATCTGATCCAACCATAAATTCATACATAGTGCCCCTGGCCTGAGAGGATGGAAGTTCAACATTTTAATGCCATTTAGCAGACACTTTTATCCAAAGCAACTTACAGTCATGCGTGCATACATTTTTGTGTATGGGTGGTCCCGGGGATCGAACCCACTATCCTGGCGTTACAAGCGCCGTGCTCTACCAGCTGAGGTACAGAGGACCAACACGTAGCTAGATGTAGTATGCTAATGTTACCTAGCTGGCCTGGCACATCGTTGCCCATGAAAGGAAGTTAGTCTAGCGAACAAACATTTTAACCAGGTAGCCTAGGACAACAAAAACTAAAAGCGTGTACTGTATGACAGAGTCATAGACCATTTAGGCAACATGAAAGAGGAGGATGGCATTGGGGTTTCTCTACAAGTAGGGTGAGTCAACATGTTATTTTTTACTTGTGCACACGCACAAACACAGAAATCAGTACCATGGACAGCCACATCATATTTAGCTGACGTTGATTGGACTAAATCGTTTTTGGTATCTTTTAGTTCTCACCATATTAGACTAAGCGTAGGTGATTAGATGATGTTGAAGTTGAAATGGTGCTGAAATAGTGGAGGCAGCTCCTGTTTTCTTTGCGACTTGCCGTAACTCTCTGTGGTTCTAAATCAATAGTTGTTTAGTAGTCCGAAAATGTCGGAAACATTACATTTTACATTTTACATTTTAGTCATTTAGCAGACGCTCTTATCCAGAGCGACTTACAGTTAGTGAGTGCATACATTTTCATACTGGCCCCCCGTGGGAAACGAACCCACAACCCTGGCGTTGCAAGTGCCATGCTCTACCAACTGCTTGACCATGGTGTAGGTCATGTAACTGTTTGTTACATGCAATATGTTTTGTGGACTTTTGTTACATGCAATATGCGTATGAACTAACAGGTTATAGAGCAAACAACGCAATTATCACAACACATACTGTGGGTTGTAATATTTTTTGGGGCTTGGCTTCCCCGGTGATTTTACCCATGCACCGCTACTTCTAATGTGGTCCACAACATTGTTTGATGATATCAGGCAAAATCCAAACTTTTCTAACTGATATGAAAGAGCTCAGTTATGAGTTGTGGATTTCAAGTTAGGAGTAAGACATTTTGAGTAAGACATTCAGGTTAAAAGGATACCATGAATTGACCAGTCCCTGTGTGTGTTTCTCCCCAGGTGTTGCGGTCGGACCTGAAGGACCGTGAGCATGTTGTGGCCAGTACACTGGACCAGGCACGCATATTCCTGGCTGACCAGCCCATCGAGGGGCCGGGAGAACCACGCAAGAACCTACAGCCCAAAACAGGTGAGTCTCCTGTCACTGCCTAGCCTGAACACACACACGCCAAAGTCCAATGACATCAACGGCCACTTAGTCTTACTTTATAATTTAATTGAACTCCCTTATAAAACCTACTAAAACCTGCTATAATCTATGTAACTGATGTCAGTATTTGTCAGTTTATGTTGACCATTCAGTTCAACCTGCATACACAGTGGCCCTCCAAAACCAGATCTGGGAAACCCTGTATCAGGGTGGGTGTGAATGTCCTTGAAATGCACCTCTGAAGTTCCCCTATCCACTTGAAGTTTATGTGGGGTGTGATATGAGTCTCAGAATACACCCAAACACTAAATGCGCACCAGAACTCATTAGTAATTCTGTCTCTAAAGGCTGCTGGGCCTAAGAGGATGAAACAGTGAAGTCATCGCTATGTCAGCACATTTCCTCTTTAACAAAGTCGGGCTGTTAAATAATGTAGCAGAATCCCTGAGACAATCTGGGAGGGTGTGGCCAGAGCTCCAAGCAGGCAGAGATCTGGCCCTTCTGTGTGATCTTTGATGTAATTATCAAAGGGGCCTCTGGTCGAATCAGTGGTTAAGAACTGATCTAAGGGCTGTGATGGGTAGGATGGTTTTCATAGTGGTGCGTGGTATATCAGAGGGTAAGTCTAATCTGAAACAAACCCTGCATTGACCTTGGATACTTTCGCAAGGGGTGTGTGTGACTGTAGAGGGTATATCTGATCTCCATATGATCTAAAACCTGTGCTCGGTTGCTTTCACAGGAGGGACATGGGGCTTCACAGAGTGAAACTGATCTGAGACCAGTGCCAGCAGGGACACCTCTGTCTCCTCTAGTCTAACTGAACCCAGTGGGGGAGAACACCTTAGTCTTCAGATCCTCTCAGACCCAATCAAACTCTCCCAACTTTCCCTGGCCTTTGTTTGCTTGTCAAACTTCTTATTTTCAAAGCAGACCGCTCACACGCTGGTCCTGTCTGTGGTGTGTGGCATCTATGACTGGCAGACTAACAGACAGAACCCCTGATGCATGCTTCCGTTTAGGGTGTCTAAGATTTAGATCGTCATTGACACACTGATTTAAAGTCTCTCTTCAAGTTGAAATGCTTGCTTTTATTGTACAACCAACTTTCCCCTTTGAGGATGTTAAAGTCTTTGTCCTCGCCCCCTTACTCCCCTACTCTCTCTGTCTCCCTCTTCCCCCCTCTCTCTCTCTCTCCCCACTCTCTCCCCTTCTCCCAGACCTGACTCCAGAGCAGAAGGCGCAGGGTGTGGCCAGGGCCATCAGGAAGCAGACAGCGGAGGTGCAGGAGCGTTGGGAGCGTCTGCAGGGCCACGCGGAGGGATGGCAGAGCCAGTTAGAAAGGGCTTTAGAGAGGCTACAGGAGCTCCAGAGCAACATGGACCAGCTGGACCTGCGGCTAGCCAGGGCAGTGGAGACCAAGGCTGGCTGGCAGCCTGTAGGAGACCTGCTCATAGACTCACTGCAGGACCACATAGAGAAGACCACGGTGAGGGGGTCACTGGGGTGTTACTGGTTTATTAAGGGGGAAAGAGAGAGGGACGTTTTTTTTAACGTCCACTACAAAACGTTTAGGGCCAACAAGTCCTTACTGGTGTTTGTAGGTAGTGATTAACCTGTGTAAAAAATATGAATGACCTAGGTCAACATCTAATCACCATTGGTACAGGTATCACCCCTGCACCATAACAGTATGTTATAGATACATCTGCCTACAGCAAAACACTGACCTGTGTGTGTATGCGTGCATCCTGTGTGTGTTCCAGGCTTTCAAGGAGGAGATGGCCCCTCTGAGGCAGGACGTGCATGTGGTGAATGAGCTGTCTGATGAGCTGGCTCCTCTGGATGTCCAGCTGTCCTCCACCTCCTCCAGACAACTGGATGACCTCAACATGCGCTGGAAACTACTACAGGTGGGCTATGGGTGTCGCACCGTCCCCCTTTTACAGGTGGGCAATGGGTGTCACTCCTACAACCGTCCCCCTTTTACAGGTGGGCTATGGGTGTCACTCCTAAAACCGTCCCCCTTTTACAGGTGGGCTATGGGTGTCACTCCTAAAACCGTCCCCCTTTTACAGGTGGGCAACGGGTCTCATGCCTAAAACCATCCCCCTTTTACAGGTGGGCTATGGGTGTCACTCCTAAAACCGTCCCCCTTTTACAGGTGGGCAACGGGTCTCATGCCTAAAACCATCCCCCTTTTACAGGTGGGCTATGGGTGTCACTCCTAAAACCGTCCCCCTTTTACAGGTGGGCAACGGGTCTCATGCCTAAAACCATCCCCCTTTTATGTGTCATACTTAAGAAGAGGTGTCACAGCTACAACCCTCCTCCCTTTTAGGAGTTGTCAGACTTGGGTGTACGTGTCACGGGTAAACTGCTAAATTACTCAAATGTAAAATGTAAAACCTTCCTCCATTTACAAGCTGTTATATTCTTGACTTTTCTACCTTCTTCTCTTTTTTTTCTCTCCCACCTTATTCTCATCTCTGCCTGTCTGTATGCTCATGTTCATTCTCTCTCAATGTCTCTTGCTGTCTTTGTAATCATGTATTTCTGTCAATCTCTTTCCACCTGTGTGTGTCATTTCGTTATGAAGCTTTTTCTCATTATTCCTTCCGTCTCTCTCTCTGTCAGCCTGCCGTACTTTAGCTCAGACACAGAGAGGAGTGGGGAGAGGTGGCCCTCCGCTTGTCTTTCTCTACAGGTTACTGAGTTCTATATTGGCACAGTGGACTTCTGTCACTGTAGATAAATAACACTTTTTGTCACAGCGGACCAGTGTCCTGGTCCAGCCTGCTGATGGCTGGGATCAGAGCCTTGCTCTTGCACCCCTCAGGCTCAGTTGTCACTATACTGTTTAGATTAATGTGTGTTTGTACTGTGTGTGTGTGTTTGTGTGTGTTTGTGTGTGTGTGTGTGTGTGTGAGACAGAGAGAAAAAAATTGACATCAAGAGAGAGATCTTAGATTACGTCCCTCTCCTTCTCCATGCCCCCCACCCCTGGTATTGCCATGCTGGAGTCGATGATGACCACTGAGATAGGATGCCATGCCACTTTGTCTGATCAAACAGAAGGGCAAACAGCACAGCAGGACTCAGTCACCAGTCACCCCGTAAAGATTCACTGGGGCAGAATGAAAATGTGGAAGCCACATTTTGTGTCTGCCTCCTGGTTCCCTGTGTAGAGACAGCCTTATATCCTCACTGTAGGGAGGTTGTCTGAGTCACTGCACACAGTGAGGACACTCAGCAATGCGCATGCACGCACACACGCACTCGGCTGGTCAATATAGTGTTGGCGGGGTGCAGGTGTGTGTTTGTGTGTGTCTAACTCTCTCCTCTTTCTGGTGTGCAGGTGGCCATTGAGGAGAGACTGAAGCTTCTTCAGGAAGCCCACAGAGACTTTAGCCCTTCCTCCCAGCACTTCCTATCCAGTGAGTAGCCAAATCAATCAAATCAAATCAAATTGTATTAGTCACATACAAATTTTTTAGCAGATGTTATTGCGGGTGTAGTGAAATACTTGTGTTCCTAGCTCCAACAGTGCAGTAGTATCTAACAATTCACAACAATACACACAAATCTAAAAGTAAAAGAATGGAATTAAGAAATATATAAAAATTAGGACGAGCAATGTCGGAGTGGCATTGACTAAAATACAGTAGAATATAATACAGTCTATACATGATGAGATGAGTAAAGCAGTATGTAAACATTAATAAAGTGACTAGTGAAACAACACCTCCACTTCGCTGATCCTCAATACTGGGGCTCCACAAGGGTGCATGCTCAGCCCCCTCCCGTACTCCCTGCTCACCCATGACTGCGTGGCCAAGCAAAACTACAACTCAATCATCAAGTTTGCAGACGACACAACAGTAGTAGGCTTGATTACCAACAATGACGAGACAGCCTACAGGGAGGAGGTGAGGGCTCTGGGAGTGTGGTGCCAGGAAAATAAACTCTCACTCAACGTCAACAAAACAAAGGAGATGATCGTGGACTTCAGGAAACAGCAGAGGGTGCACTCCCCTATCCATATCGACGGGGCCGCAGTGGAGAAGGTGGAAAGCTTCAAGTTCCTTGGCGTACACATCACTGACAAACTGAAATGGTCCACCAACGCAGACAGTGTGGTGAAGAAGGTGCAACAGAGCCTCTTCAACCACAGGAGGCTGAAGAAATTTGGCTTGGCACCTAAAACCCTCACAAACTTTTACAGATGCACAATTGAGAGCATCCTGTCGGGCTGTATCACCACCTGGTACGGCAACTGTACCGCCCGCAACCGCAGGGCTCTCCAGAGGATGGTGCGGTCTGCCGAACGCATTACACACACACAAACACACACTCAAGCAGGCGGCAAGGTTCTTCACTCTTGAATAATTAAAGGCTTAATTGCAACTCTCCTCTGACTTTCTCTCCTTTCAGACCAGTGGTCGTTAACGAAGGAGGGAGACGGGGAGAGAGGGAGGGAGGGAGAGAGAGATCATTAGCGACAGACAAAGCCACACCTCTCCCTGCTCATCCCCTCCTTCCATCCCCATTTACTCCAAATTATACACTAGTGTTCTATTTCATTGCTATGCCCTTTTCCTATCTCCATCTCATATCTAACCCTCTCTTATCTACCCCATTTGGCTCTGACATGTCCTCCATGTGATGATAACAGGGTGGTGGGACGGGGAGGAAACTTAGCTGTCGTGTGTCCATAGACCTGAGTTTATTCTACCAGCCAAGATGCCATTCTGGCTCCCCTTTCATCTCTCATAGACATAATCTACCATTCCTTCTCATAGTAACAGGATGGTACCGACGGAGAAGGTAAAAATCTTACAAGTTTCAACCCGACTTTGCTATTTAGCTACTTTTTTTGTGTTTATCAACAACCCAAAAATGGTACTTAAAGTTCATACTATTATCACATATGACCGCCAAGCACTTTTTGACATTTCGACTTCAAACCCGACTCCGATAGCTGTACCCTTGTTTACATCAGACCTTATTCCTTTTTTCATGGGCTTTACCAAAACACTGCAGTTGTAGACGTGGCAGACGGGCTGGAGTCCTGTTGAGACAGAGACTAAGAGAAAATTGACTGGCACACCCCTCCGTTTTATTGGCAAATGTCCAGTCGCTCGAGAATAAGATGGATGAGCTTCGTTCCAGAGTCTTCTATCAGAGAGACTTGAAAAGCTGCATTATAATTGCCTGGCTACCCAGACTCCTTGCTCCGGCCAAATGCTACGCCACGCCCACGGACGACAGTTTCTTCTCCGCAATAAGTTTGGATCTGAGTACATCCCCGACCCTTCACTGAATGCGAACACATTCGGGGCTGTCTGATTGGTCCAGAAACCAATGGATTGGGCCAGACCCAGAACACACGTGGGTAAAGCGGTAGTTCGAACATTTGCCCCCATTGGCTATGATACTCTGATTGGTTAGACGATCCAATCGCTGATTACTTTGTTTGGTACAACACCCCTAGTGCCTCTCGTTACCACTAACGACTTCAATGATGACAGAATAATTTAGTGGTTAAGCTAGCAATATTATATGCTTTGCAGAAACTTGTCTGGCTGAATCTATGAATATAGAACTAAATGATTTCTCCATGCAGCGACACAAGGGGAAGGGGGATGGGTCTGCCTCTTCATAAACAACAACTGGTGCACCGCTTCCAGTGTGAAGGAAACTCAAGCTTTTGCTAACCTGACATAGAATGCCTCATGGCAAGCTGTAGAGCTTTTTATCTACCAAGAGAGTTCTCATCCAAATTATCAAGGCTATCTACATCCCACCACAAGCCAACAACACTTTGGCACTGAACGAACTGAATGGGGCCATAAACAAACAAGAAACCGCACACCCAGAGACATCTTTTGGGAGGAAACTTTAATGCAGGGAGACTTAAAAACGTCTCCTATGCCATAAGGGGCGCCAAAATGCTAGACCACTATTATTCTACCAAATTTTTTTTATACAAGGCCCTCCCTTGCCCTCCCTTTGGCAAATCTGACCACGGCTCTATCCTGCTGCTTCCCGTTTACAAACAAAAGCTCAAACAGGAAGTACCAGTGACGCGCTCAATACAGAAGTGATCTGATGAAGCAGACGTGAGGCTACAAGACCGTTTTGCTAGTACAGACTGCGATATGTTCCATGATTCATCCGATAGCATTGAGGAGTTTACCATATCAGTCACAGGCTTCATCAATAAGTGCATAGACGATGATGTCTCCACAGTGACCATACAAACTTATCCAAACCAACAACCATGGATTATAGGCAGTATCCGCGCTGGGCTAAAGGCTAGAGCTACCGCTTACAAAGAACGGGACATGGATGCATACAAGAAAGCCCACTACGACCTCCGACGAGACATCAAACATGAAAAAGGACAATGTAGGAGGAAGGTGGAATCCTATTACACCGGCTCCGATGCTCGTCGGATGTGGCAGGGCTTGCAGTCTATAACAGACTACAAAGGGAAACCCAGCCGTGAGATGCCCAGTGACGCAGAACTCCCAAATGAGCTAAATGCCATTTATGCTCGCTTCGAGGAAAACAACAGTCTTGCATGAAAGCCCCTGTTGTTCCAGATGACTGTGTGATCTCGCTCTCTGTGGCCGATGTAAGTAAAACTTTGAAACAGGTTAACACCCGCAAGGCCGCCGGGCCAGATGGAATACCAGGGCGCATTCTCAGAGCATGCGCAGACCAGCTGGCAAGTGTCTTCACGGACATTTTCAATCTTTCCTTGTCCCAGTCTGTAATGCCAACATGTTTCAAGCTGACCACCATTGTCCCTGTTCCCAATAACTCAAAGGTAATCTGCCTAAATGGCTATATTCCCCTTACACTGACATCTGTATTTATAAAGCGCTTTGAAAGGCTGGTCATTACATGCATCAACGGCATCATCCCAGACACCCTGGACCTACTCCAATTTGCATACCGCCCCAACAGATCCACAGATGGCGCA